TCGGAACAAATCGTGCATTATTTACAGCAGCAGAATACCACAGAAATATCAGACGCAACATGAAAACACTATATATTGTATTTCAGCCTGAACCCTCTATATTGCAATTCAAGGAATTAACCCCATATGTGCATCCATTTCCCACCTTGGTATCACCCACCCCTGAAAACAAACTCTTAATACCACGCTGAAGCGTTTGGTAATAAAAAAAAACAACAGCTTAATGGTCTTTTAGCATTTACCCAAAATAAAATTACATTTAACATCCAAACCAAAATTTTTCCTAAAGTTTCGATTAAAACAAACATTATGGTCTTATGAAGCATATAATGGATAGAAAGTCATAAATTGCAGGCTGGAAAACCATTAAAAAAATGTCTATTGTTCCTAGAAAATACAATTACACAAATTAAAATTGTAAATTGTGGTTATGCAAATTAATGGCATACAATTTTAGAGAGAACCAGCATGTCTGGATTTTTTATGAGCTAACAGGTGAACTTTGACCTCAAGTTCAGTAAATACTGAAAAGAACATGTATATTAGGCATGGAGACCTAAAATGTGAATGAGAATTTTTATTAATCTGACCCATGTAAACATTTGTTGCCAAGTGATGTCGACATTGTATTTTGGCTCTGTGTTTGTTCAAAATAAATTTATTGAATCATTATTATTATTTACCTCTGTCATGGCACGATCAATTTCCGACTGAACATCCTGTTCAGACCTGCCATCTTTGATCAGCAAGCGAAGGCGCAAGGCATACTCACGAAGCTAAGAATGAAAAATATATATATATATTTACACAACACAGAAACACACAACACATTAGGGGTTTGTTGCCCATTAGAAAGTCTGACGGAGACAATAGTAGAAATAACGTGCAAACTATTTTAGTTCTGAGCGAAATTTTTTATTTTCGCTTTACAGACTCTCAAAGTCTTTATTTTTTTTGCAACGAATATCAATTTCTCCTAGTTGGAGTTTGTTTTCTACAAAATTGTACGTGTAGATTTGTTTTTGAGGCCGCCCAACCACGCCACCCTGACCAATTTTCTAGAGAGTGGCTCATAAATCACCATAAGTACATTGGGTAAACTCATAAACTTTGTATTGGCTTCTATATGCTTTATGTTGATCACCAGCTACACCTTTCATATGATCCTCCAACCGTCAGATTTTCTTCTCATAAAAATCCTTGTGTAAAAATGTTTTCGAAGATTTTATGATATCGTTTACAGGCCCTGATGGGGAATTCTGAATTTTAATCATCATACTTAACAGACATAAACACATTTTATGTAGGACTATTTTGTGTAAGGTTACAAAAGTTAACAACTATGGTGAAAGGGTTATTGTATCTGAAAAATAGTGTTGAGATTATGAACACTTAAACAAAAGAATTGTTGAAAATCAGTTACAAACAAAACTACATTACACTTAATGACAAAACCCCCATCAAACAATTTTTCTTTTCTTTTTATTTTGATTGCTGTATTTGCTCTATTAGTAGCACATGTACTTTTAAAGTGACAGAGATGTGCCTATGGTAAAAAGAAAGAAAACTGTTTGGAATTCAGCATAAAATGAATGCACTTTTTGGTTAATGTGCACTTGTATTAGAGATGCGCTTCTAATAAAATATAACATTATTTCTCGAAAAATAGGCGGAAGTCAACTCAAAATATATTATATTGAAAAATGAATAAATATTTTTTTTCTTTAACGAGTAAAGGTTCTACCTATTATGAAACTTGTACCATCAATATAATCTGAATTACCCATAATGAATGACAGGAAATGACATCATAGGATCACATGACAATTACCTTGCATCTCAACATGACATTCATTCTACGAGTGGCCTCTGCATTATGTGCTTCAGGAAAACACTTTTTTGGGATAACACCATACTTCTCAACTATGTTAATGAGCATATCAAACTGTCCACCATCATCAACTGGACCAGTAAGAAGGAAATTCAAAAGTCTCCCATCTGGCTCTTCACCGTTTCTGGCTGTCTCAGCATATGCATGTAAAAAGAAAAGACTTCTCTCCACCTGAGAAATCAACACACTTGTTATTAATTGACAAGAACAATCATCGTTTCAGGGAAACTTGAATTTGCAAAATTTTGGTAAACAGAAAATTTGACCCTGCAAAGATTCTTGGCTTACAGAAGGAGATATTACTATCATCAGAACTAGACATTTGTGGAGTGGCATATGGAGAATGAATTGAAGCATAGATTCTAAGCCACTGATGAAGATATTTCTAGCATGGTAGATAGGCATTAGTGGAGTGACATATAGAATGGAACACTACATACATTCTAGGCTACTGATGAAGATATTACAAGCATTGTAGCTAGGCCTAGGTAGAGTGGCATAAGGTGAATGGAATTCTGCACAGTTTCTAAGCCACTGATGAAGATAATACTAGCATGGTAGATAGGCATTAGTGGAGTGACATATAGAATGGAACACTACATACATTCTAGGCTACTGATGAAGATATTACAAGCATTGTAGCTAGGCCTAGGTAGAGTGGCATAAGGTGAATGGAATTCTGCACAGTTTCTAAGCCACTGATGAAGATAATACTAGCATGGTAGATAGGCATTAGTGGAGTGACATATAGAGTAGAATGTCGCATAGATTCTAGGGTAGCTGCAAACTCATTATGTAAGTTTTCACTTTTATTATCAGAAATATATAATATATTTCTATTTTATAACTAAAACACACACAAAAACTAAGTAATTTAATGCTTTATATACCTTGTCCCAGAAAAATAGATAGTTTTGACTGAATTCAAACTCCTCCAAATTGTGAAGTTTCATAAAAGGAATACGCATTGCATTCAAGCAGGCAAATATCCAACACCGACCAGAATTCTTCTGGTTTGTGACAGGTTTTACTTCAGGCACCTACAAAAACACAGAAAATAAATATATATTTAAACATTCAAAAAACAATTAAAGAAAGTTTTTCACTGGTAAAAACCATATCAACCAATCTGATATTGTTTACACCATGACAAAAAAATAATTGAAATATCTAATAGAAGTTGAACTCTGAGATCATTCTTACATACTGTAAAGATATTAATTATTTACTGGTTTTTAATTACACTGATAAGTAAAAATTCGCTAAAGCAAATCTATGTGAACATTTAGAATAACAAGTTAAATCTTTGTAAATTTCACGAGTCAGTGAAAATTATGAAATTTTGAATCTGTGAAAATTCTCTGGGGTCCAATGACACAGAAGAAAATTTGGTTTTCATGAATGCCATAGCAGTGAAAATAAATCAGTTTACGTTATATGAGAATCCCGTTGTTTTGAATCACTGTTGGATGTAGTAAGTTGGAACAGAAGTGAACCTTTATGAAGCCAGAAACATCAGAATACTTTACAAACAAGTAATGAAAACAAGAAGTTGAAACATTGAGACATACTGTAAAATAATCACTAATTTTACATTTAGTACATTGTATATATTTCCTGCAATAATGTAAATTCAGACCAATAAATAACGCAGTAATGGTTATGCACAGAAATATGCGTAATGTGATGATTAATTTACTGCGCAAACATCCTTAATAAAGCTTTATGGATAGTATAACTACCTTGTGATTGTAACAATGATTCGTTTTCTGAATAGTGTCTTGTTCTAAAAGAATTTCCAGAGGATCATGATTCACAATTGCATTTTGAGCTAACTTATACTTGGGATCAGAACAGAATCCATCTTTACACCGAGCCAACTGGTCTTTAGTTACTCCTGTAACAATAAGTAAAAGATTACATGTCAGGAGGTGCAAAATTACAACAGCGCAGCCTAAACACACCCATAACAGATCTGGTCCTAATAGATTGCCTGCTAAAAGCTCCATGGACATACAAAAATTAATTGAGGGAGGGGGGGGGGTATAACTTTAGAAATAATTACATAAGTATATCACTGAAATACACAAACCTGATAACAGATTGTTGAAGGCTCTACACTCAAATTCTGTGTAAACAACTAAGCATTTCACATGCATGGTATATAGCCATATCAAACATGACATCAAGTTTGTTATTAACACATTTATTTGCAAAAAAAAAAGCTTGATAAGTGTGCCACATTCAAAGTGTTTTTATAGCCACTCATAGATTGCATGCGCTAGAATAACGAGCAGTACAAATGCTGTAAAAATATTAATTTTCATGACACAATGTAATTAATTTCACCATTTTGATATTCGATCAAATACATTTCAAATACAGATTTTCTAATGAAAGGATGACTTCTTTTGTAATTTAGATATATGTTCACATGGAATTAATTTTAATAAACATCATATATCAGTGAAAATAAAAAAATTGAAACCTAGAGAATGATTCTTAAGCCTTACCAATATTAGTTCCATACATGTATAGAATATATCTGGAATATCTACCATCAATGAATGTTTTATAAACTGAAGACTAATCGGTAATGTACATACACATGATATTTTAAATTAAAAATCTCAAACTCTGTTGGGAATAGATATGATGTCTGCATTCTGATTTCATAACCACAGTGTTATCAGATACAAGGCCAAATGGCTTTGGTTAATTCCCTCAACATCTGAATCACGTCGAATAAACCAGAATGAACTGCTGTTTGCAGTAAAAGTTACAAGCGACCTTGCAGTCCAAAGAGCTCTGCTGTAATTGTTGACTGTGAGTTGAAAACGTAGGCTGGAGTGATGTTGATAAAGTTTGGCACCATAAAAAATACCTTCACCTCAACTTCAACCATAGACAGTATAGTATGCTTCAACATAGTTGTCTAATAGCAGCAAACATATAAACATTAAATGACCTTGACCTGGAACATTTTTTAAAAACATTGCCCAGGTAGTTCAGTACACAACACAATGTGTACTGAAAAAGACTACTAAAATAGACCCATCCATGTGTCTACATTATGAATCTCAAAGCAATCTGGCAGGCGGTTTTGGAGAGATGTCAAAAATATGCACACAAAAAACATTTACTAAAAAAAGACATTTGCATACGGTCTAGTCCATGTCAAGAACATTCATGCAAAATTTCAATGCAATCTGACAAACAGTTGTTGAAAAAATAATTTTTGACTAAAAATGACAAAAATATCCCTAAAAATAGAGATTTGGATGTGATGTCATGAAATGAACAAATCTGACAGAGGACCACCCAAGGTAGCTGTGCTATAAATAGAAAGGTGATCTAGCTGACAGTTTAGGAGACAGGCAGTGGATGACATACGATTGACGTTGAAGAAAAAATTGGGCGAGAAAATTTGCATGGTGGTGATAAGGCTAAAGCAAGAAATGATAAAAATACACAATGAAACAATGAAATGACATGCTGCATATAAATCAGTAGCATGATATCTACCGGTACCTTCAATATTATGGATACAGCTATAATAAAACTGCATGTTTGCTGAAAAGACTTGACATGTTTCGTATGGAATTTATTCTCACCTATTTTTGAATGTAAAATATTGGAATAAAAGTATACTCGCTGGATTTTATTTTCACTGAATCATTCCTTCAGCAATAATATTTTACAGTAATACAAAATAAGAATATTACAGATTTTGATTTAGAATCTTGCATGAATGGGTAAAATACTAGTGATGCATTAATACTGTCAGTATTTCAAGGACATACTTGATACTGTACGCAAAGCACAATGTGCAGCAATATTATTAAAATATTTAATATTACAAAATCTCATTATTTTTATATCACTGACTTATATTTGCTGCCAGTGGGGTTGAGACACCATCACTACAAATTACCTACAAACATTTGATGAGCAAAGTGCATTTCCAAATACCCCCGGTAATATAGCTCTGGGCAAATTTACTAGAATCACCATATATACCCTAGGAATGGAGCACCACTCAAAGGGGTCCCACACAGTAGTAATAATTTTTTTACAACATTATTTTAGTGGTGGTAAACATCAATCAAGTACAAAATGTAAGATGTTATTTTTGTGTGTCATTCTCAGACATTGTAACAATACTGTTTACTAGCCAGTTTTAGTACAGTTGTTCTATTGTTTTAAATTCTACTACTAGTATATTTACAGTACCTATTCACATATTACTAATGAAGGGTCACTTTCTATATATTAAATTTAACAGTTTTTGCAGCTGTCAATTTTTATCACCCCTGTAAGCCTGTATAAGCACCATTATCATATATTAAAAAACAGTATGAGGAATATATGAATCATTATTAATTATTTTTCACCAAATATGATTATAAAAAAATGCTAACTTGACATCATGACAGTTAGTAAACCAAAAATGGATCACCCAACAAGCTGTTACAATAATGACCACGTTTTGACCTGGCCTCAATACCCAAGATATACACCTGTTCTGAAACACTTTTCCAGAACTTTGAGAAGAACTATTGCTGTATTGTTGAGGCTTACAGCTCAAACCAACTTACTGATAAAATAGCAGTTTAAAAAAAAATCTAGATTAATTTCTCTTTACAAATTTAAGGAATGTTGTGGCGAACATATTTTTGATGCAGGAATTTCCTGAGGCTTTGTTGAATTTTCTGGCTGTTTGTTTGTTTTTGAATTATGAACCTCAATGTTATACAATTTTGCCCACTTTCCAATTCAAAATGTCTACCAAAATAGGATTTAATGATTTGACATCTCCAACATTTGACTTTTTTCTTTTTAGCTATCCAGAAAAGATAGACACGTGGCACATTGGTAAATCATTCAAATTATAATAGACAAGTCATTGTCAATGACACGTCCCCGTTCCGTTCATATTTGAGTGACATATACATTCAAAGCAGATCATGACTGAAATGCACCTGCATATGTACAACACATTGTGCTAAATCTGAACAAAATCCATCCATGCATGACTGAGATCCGGTTCTGGAATTGTGAAAATACGTGATTTTGATGCATTTTCGGCCTTAAAATGG